GGCCAACCAACCTCTTTTACGCTACTTTAATAACTTTTTGATTGATAATCCTGACACCAGCACTTAAAGTGATCACAAAATCCTAACCTCATATTGGTGCTTTCCTCATGCATATATAGGCAAACCTTGATACTTAACCAAAACATGTATAAGAACATTTTTATACAAAAATATGAACACTAACCAATGGCAATTGTTTACAGACCAAGTAACAGCAAATCTTATTTCTAACAGAATACTTCTTACTATTCAAACCTCAGAGTTACTAGAATTTTTATGGCATAAAATACAAACTAGTATCATCTCTGCAGCCATACAGCATATTCCAAACAAAAAATTTACTGTCAGAAACTTTCAAAATATTTTTTCTACAAAAGCATCATTATTGTATCAACATCTTAAAAAACTAGGAAATATTATTAAACAAACTAAACACTTACTTTAGAACCTAAGCCCTATACTACACCAACACAATGATTTTATCAATTAACTAAACACATCTAATTATCTTAATATTCCATCCCTATCAACTGAATATGACCAACTGCCTAGCTGGTTAATCTTGGCCAAAACTGAATAGAGGTTATTATATTATGCTCATAATATTGAAAATATTAAAAAAATAAAATAGCAAATTAACAATAATATTGCCAAAAGATGCAACAAACTGCAATCAAACCCTACATCTATAATAAATAGTATACTTAACAAATACAAAGACCCAGTTAAGTTTGATAATATCTGAACTGATACTGAAGTTATCACTAATGCATCAAGTATAAAACTTTACATTCAGCAACACTTTGACTAATAGCATCATACAAACAAACCAATCTTTAGATTTATGAATCTAACTAGAAAAATAAATATAACTCCAAGCCACATATTAACTTCAACTGGTATCAAAAAGTTCTTGAAGAGCTTACTGTTAATAAAGTAACAGAAACACTAGCATAGCTTTTAAATAATAAAGCATGTGGCCTTTTAGGCATTAGTTATGAAATGCTAAAGCATACTAGCACATCTTTACTTCAAGCAATTACAGCTCTACTAAACAGATGTTTACTTACAAACCATAGTTTAAAACAATAGAAAGAGAGTAGAATCTTTCCAATTTCTAAAAACTAATATTTAACAGTAACTTGATTAATACTAGACCCAATATTTTTTTGGAGCATGCCAAGAAACTTTATATCAAACTTCTTACAAACTGGTTAAATAATATATTTACAAAGTATGAAATTTTATCACCTTATAATTATATTGCACTCCTAGGCAATAGCACAGCCATATCTATTCATATACTTAACAACATAATTGAAGATGCATTCTGAAACTCCAAAAAACTCTGGCTTATATCACAAGATATAAGCAAAGCATATTACTCTGTTAATCTTAATTTATTCAAAAAAGCACTTTATTGCATTAGTATGCCACCAAAGCTAGTTAATATACTTACTAACTTGTTAACAAATCTCCAAAACAGAGTAATTACTAACCTGGTTTTACTAATCCATATACAGTCAAAAATGGCATTGATCAAAGAGAAACTATTACACCTCTTTTTTGATGTATTTACTATGATCCACTTATTCACAAAATTGCATCACAACACAAAGGCTATACATTATCTACAACTTGGAAAACTCATCTTTTATTATCCAATACCAAAAACCTTCAAATTTCTACCTCTGTACTAGTATACATGAATGACACACTTTGGATAGCTCAAACAAATTAGAATTCAAACAGATTACTCAAATTGCTACATCCTTTTATCTAATGGCCAACATCCAAATTAATCTCTTAAAGTTTATTTTTATCTCAAACTCTGCTTCATCAACTATTAGTTTTTTAATTTGATTCTTGAATTTATACCAACTAGTCAGCCTTTCAAATTTTAGGCAGCTGGTTTACTCTCAATAATAAGCATACACAACAAATTAAAATTATTCAAGAAGAAACACTCCAACTCACCAATATTGCCAATACTAAGAAAATTACTGACAAACAAATTACTTATATAATTAATACTGTTATTATACCTATACTCGAATATAGACTACATAATATAATTTTGTCTCAATCTATATATAACAATATACTAACCAAATATTTAATATTAATCAAACACAAATCTCATTTAGCCCACTCTATTCCTAATAGTACTATGTTCAATTTTTACTTATATAATATTTATAATATCTGAAACATCCAGCTTCAACATCATATTACCAACTTTTTATTATAAATTAACAACCCTAATCTACTTGAAATTTCTATCTGAATAAGACTACAATAACTTTAAAACAACCTCTGGTCAGTAACCAATATACTTCAGCACCTATAACCAATTATTAATGAACCCAACAAATATACACTAAATTTTAAAATCATTTAACTTCTAACTCATCTAAATATGTCTATAACAGTTAACTCTAATATAGTTTGGCCTAATACTATCTATTACAATTTCCAGCCTCTAGAATAAAGCTTATTACAGCATGCTCAATATATTACTTTTAAAAAACAACTTAGAAATCTCAATATACTATATCTTAAACAACTCTGTACTGCAAGTAGAAAACCATTATGGTTTACTTATCTAGAAGATTTAATAATGGCCCACAGCAGCTATAGAACACTTCTTTCATATAATCAACAAGCAGGACATAACTCTTTTGGCTATAGCTCACAACAAATTCCAAAAAAATCAAAACCATGGTTACTTATATATAATAATAATAAAATTATTATTGGCAAAATCTATAGATATTTTCATAATACTAATCAAATATCTATTACATATTGGCAATCTGATATTAATATAAACCAGCCAAACTATTATCCTCTTTTACTAATTAAATGTACACCCTGTTCAAAATGTCTTTTAAACTTAGATAGAATTAAAAACCAATGTACAATTAATGCATTAGCAGTTATATTTACTAAATTTCTAAAAAGAATAAATTCTAACTCTATTAATTTCAACTCTAATTACTTAGATCTTATATATTTAATAGCAGTTAAGCACCTTTTATCCATCTCCTTAGCCTAACAATTACTATTCTAAACTCCTCTGCAAATAAAATCTTTGATCCAGGAGAGATGACAAATATACTAGAGCAATTTTCTATTATTAATGCCTTACAACAACAAATTAACTTTTATACTGATGGTTCAGTAATTAACATTGGAACTAACCAATGCACTATGGGTATTGGCTAGACTTAAATTAATAATAACAACCAAATTATTTATAAATTCTCTGCTAAAATTCAATTTTGGCCATCTTTTTACAAAGCTGAACTAATATCTATACTTTCAGCTATCCCTACAGCTTTTCAAAATTTGACAATTAATATTTTTACTAATTTCCAATCAATAATTACTAAGTATTCTAATATCTTACTATACTTTTAAACTCTAACAAACTCTTCAAATTCAATACATAGCCTATATAGCATACCTTGTTAAATATTATAAAATCATATAACTTACAAGTTATATTTCACAAAGTCCAAGCTTATTCTAATAACCCTTATAATAACTTAGCAGATTTATTTGCAAAACAGCATATTTCTTCTTCTTCTTTATACTTTAACTACACTAACATTTATAACTCATATTATATTATTTATTGAGACTAGTATTTTATAGAACATCCAACTAGAAGCTTTATTAAAAAGATCTGCAAAGCTTATATTCTGGCTATATGTTCCTTACAAAAATGCAACTAAAAATAAAACAACCTTATTTCAAAAATAGATTAGAAATCAACTTGGATATACTTTAACCATAACCAAAAACCAACACATAATCTTACTACCTTTAAGCTCAATTATTTTAAATTCTTTAAAATTAAAATTCTTTTAAATAAACTATACCTATTTTCTTTGTTATAAAATATATACAAATTCTGTAATACAAATTGCTTTTACTATAACATTCCTAATTCTTCTACATACTAGCACTTATGCTCTAACCCAACCCTACTTACTGATATTATTCACAACACTATTATCAAGCATATCAACTAAACTAACTTAGATTTTTCTAAAAAGGAACAAAATGAACTTATTTATAATATCCGCAACAATAAAGCATTTCATCATATACCACTTTATTATAACTTATTTTATCTTGACATTATGCTTAAAGGCCTTATCTCCAAATCTCTAGTTTAAGTTATTCAAAACTTTAATATTCTTTACAAACTAGCATCACATATTATAATCAATATGATACTAAAATTAATGAACTATGTTATGAGAAACTCTAGAAACCATACTGTATAAAATTCTCAAACTGAAAAAAACAACAAAGACTTAAACCTCCCTACTCAACACCACTAACTCAAACAAATCACAGTACTTAAACCAAATATACTTGCTACAATTATACTTACTTCTGTCTATGTGGACAACCTAATCAAGTACATTCTATTACTAATACTTGCCCTTCTATTGGGCTTGTTATCAGAAAAATCAATATATGAACAATTCTTTGGATCAAATACAATATCTTTTTTAATTATATCTTAACTCTACAAATTTAGATGAGTTTTAACCACTTTAGTAGGTTTAGATTGCAGATAAATATGTCTAAGCTTTTATTCTTAAATGTAGTTTTTCTTTTTGTATTTAGAGTCTAGTTATATAGTTAGTAGTTTAATGTTTTGTCATGACTGCAAGTGTTGGCTTCAGCCATAGTATATATATATAAATTACTTTGTATATATAGTAACTCTATATAGTTACTAATTTTAAAACTACCAATAATAATATGAGCAAGGCCTCAACTTAATACCAAAAAAAAAAATAATATAACATTTATTATATTTGATTTTTATTATTATTTTTATTAGTTATTATAATTAATTTAAAATGCTATTAAGCCTAGATTATTTTTTTGGATTAATTATATATTATTACCTTTTACTTTAAATTTATTAGAAGATGAAACTGCTTTGTAAGATTTATATTTTGAAAAAAAATATTTTATAAATCTTTTATCTTTTTTGATTTATTTGGCCTTGGATCTAATTTGCTATTTATTAGCAAATTAGTAAGCTTTTGCTTTAATTTTGCATTTAGCCTATCTACTACTATTATAAAGTTTTTATACTTTTATTTTGCAGCAGTTCTATTCTTAAATTTAGTAATTTTTCTACTAAGTTATTTAATATAGCTTTTGTGAATAAGTGGGTCTTAACTACTTTTATAATTAACTATATTTTATATTTGCAGAAGTTTAATAAACTAAAACATATTTCTGACTAAAAGATAATTAGAATTACCAAATTTGGTAAGAGTTGCTTTACAAACTGAATATATTAGTCTTATAAAAAAAAGTAATCAAACCTAGTAATTATCAGATAATGTTCATAAATATTTTGTTAAATAATCTTTTAATTAAAAAGTAATGCTTATAAATTCTTTTATTAATTCATTTAATTTGTTCTCTAAAGGATTCTTGTATAAGAGTGCACTGTTTATTTTATTTGCCTCAATGTTCAAATTAATTTGAAGTTTTTGGCAATAATATTTATAATGTTTGCTTTAACTTAAAAATCAGTACTTAAAAACTTTATTCTTTTATTTAGATTTAGAAATGCATATATATTTTCTATATAATAGAGTTTTGCTTAAATTTAAAACTAGCACTTATTATTCTGCATTAAAAAATTTCCAAATTTCTAACCAAAATAGTTGTTTTAATGGTTTAGCATAAATTAAAAGCTGATTTTGTCTAATAAATTCCCTTATTTCTGTATTTTTCAAATTTGTTTCTTGTAATATAATTATAACTTGTTTATAAAATTTAAGTAATATAAGTGTTTTAAAATATTTATATCTATTGTTTAAACTTTTATATTTAAAGTAGCAAAAATAATTTTATTATATCTAATTATAAAGTATTTTTATAATTATAGAATTTTATAGAACCTTTATAGTTCTAAATTACTTTTGTTTTTATAAGATCCTCTAATATATAGCAGTTTTATTATTATTTTTTTTTTTGTAAAAGCTAAAGAAATTCATTGCAAGTTTTATTAGCTTTTTACTTTTATTTATCTTATATTTGACTGTAGTAAATCTATCTGTTACCTCATTCTGATTCTCAATTCTGTTTACTGAATTCATATTTATTATTTGCTCTATTTTGTTAATTGTTCTATTATTTATAAACATGTTAAGATTTTATAAATCTGAAATTAGTATTTTTCATGAAGGAGAATTTTCTTCTGAGGCCAGTATTATTTCTAAAGTCTTTTTCTTATCTTGTGATAGAATTTCTTTTTTGTTATTTAATTTATTTATTAACATTTTATTCTTATTAATTCTATTACTCATATAGAAATTATTTATACTAAAGGTATATTTACTATAAAAATTAATTAAATTCTCAAATTTTTTAGTTTTTAACTTTTTATATGATGTTTTATTTTTAATAGCCATTTTGTATTATAAGCAGTTTTTTTTATTTAACTTATTTGATAACAATAAAAATAAACCTTAAAGACTAAATTCTATTTTGTTACTATTTTGTGTTTTCTAAATACTTATATGGCAGAGACTTCTGCTTTCAAGTTCTGGATTATCAGTTATATTATAAATTAATATTTATTAGAGTAAATTGAAGTATTTTTATATATTAAAAAGTTTTATGACTTAATTAAATTATAGCTTTTAAAAATCTTATTAATTTGTTTTAAAATAAACTTTTTTTTACCTAAATCAATATTTTTTATTTTTACTACCAGATGCATTCTTTTTAGATTAGTATAAATATATATTTGAACTGTCTAGTTAAAAAAACCAATGTCTTTATTGATATATCTTTTCTGCTTTTCTTTATTTTCATAAATAATCTTTAAATAAATGCTAATAAAGTAAGATTTGACAGCAACAAAATTATCAATTTTGTTATATATTATTATGATGATATTATTAATAAATATATTCTCAAGATTATTTATATTAAACATTATTATATTATTTATTATTAGTCAAAATACTATTTTGTAAACTATGTTTAGAGAATATAGCCTTTTGCTCTTTTTAGATTTGCAAAAGACTTGCCTATTTCTTCTGTATAAATAAAGAGTTATGTTTCTTCATTCTCTTAGTCTAAGTTTTTAGAATTGGTTTTTTGTCTGATTACTTTTTTTAACATATTGTAAGTAATATTATTTTTAGTTAACACTAATTTTAATATTAAATTCTTTTTTTAAATTTTTCTAAAATCTTTTATAATAATATTTAGTAAATTTTTTAAATTATATCTATGATTTTTAATTGTTTATTATTTATGTTTTTAGTTAAAGATTTCTTAGCATATTAAGCTTTTTTTTACTAAACTAGACTAATTTTACTGTAGTTAAAACCTAAGTCTATTGTGTCTTCAATTTGGTTTGGAGTACTTTTTAAAGTTTTTCTATTTTTATTTTGTTTTCTTGGATCCTAGCTATCTTGTAAATTTCTAGTCATTTTTTGTTTTTTCTATTTCTAGCTTTGTGTACTTTCTTTTTTTTAGTACAAAGGCTTTTGCTTTTGTAAACTTGTAATTTAATTAAAAAAAATGGCTTTAAAATTTTTATATTTATATTAATATTCTAAATTCAAAACAGGTATGAGTGTTAATAATTCTTAAATACAGTATTTTTACAACAATTTTTGAATATAATAATTTTATATTATAATAGTTGGTAATAAAATATAATAGGTTCTAAGAAAAATTTCAAATATTAGATAGTTGTATCATATTATTATGCAAAACTAAAAACAGAAAATGTATAGAATATTGGTATTATATTTAGTAAATATATAAGTTGTTATATTATTAAACATGTGATATATAGTGGCACAGATTTTAAAAAACAAATAAAATTTTAAAATCATATATAATATGATATAATTAGAAAATTTTATATTCATTTTGCCAAAGTTTTTACTTTATCAAAAACAATAAAATTTTTTTTAAATAATTTATTATCTTGTTAATTCTAACTTAAATATAAATATTAGTCTTTATAGCAATAAGTTTTAAAGAATTTTTCATTACAATACTTCCTTTCTAAACTAATATATATAGTAAAAAACTTTTATATCAGTTTTGAGAAATTATTAATTTTGAAATATTAATAGTTCACTAATTATATAACTATAGACAAATATGATTATATTTGGTAGTAAAATTTTTGAATTATAACATTTTATTAAAATACTTAATTACTATAAATCTTATCATAAATGGTTATATAGAAACAGAAGAAATTGTTAATGATATACAACTAATTTTTTACTCATTTAATGCATTTTTTTTATAATAGAAATATTTTTAAATTATTGTATTATATATCACATACTATATAAATAATATTTGAAAATTAATATATATTATTTATTATACTAGGTTATTTATATGACTATGCATAACTAATAAATTCTTAATTTAATTAACTAACAATCATGATTTACAAAATTTGAACTACATTACATAATTGGCCATATAATTTTTAATAAATATTAAATTTTTTAACTTTTTTTATTTTAAAAATAGAAATTTTTAGAAAAATAGATTATATAATTATATAATTAGTTTAGTAAGATTTTTATCTAAAAGAGGAGTTGTAGTTTTATTAGACCAGATAGTTTATTTAAGTCAAATATAAATTATAATATATAACAATTATAGATACAGAACTATTGGCAGACTCTTAAATTAGATATCAAAAGTGTATGTGTAGCTAGTTGTACTTTCTAATATAAAGTAACTTCTTTGAAACTTTGGCTATGAGTCTCTATATCCTAATTTATAAATAAAGTCTAGTCCCAAAAGAGGCTAGTTTAATCTTTAAAAAAAAATAATTATAGATATAAACATTTGAAAATACATAAATATATTCAATTAATATGTTGTCAAGTTTTTATTATTAAGAGTACTAAGAAGAAGCTATATTTATTATCTTTGAGTTATTGTATAAATAAACTAAATAACAGCATTTTAGAACTTATTATGTTTTTTTTTAAATATTAACAGTGATGCCATGTCTTTAACTTTATTCAAATTTAACTGAAGTTTTTATAAAGAAAAGCTTACTTTTAAATTATATATAAAGAATAAAAACTCAGACATATAATCTGTAACCTAAACCTACAAGAGTGACCAAGGCTTACCTAGATTTGGCTGTTAGTAATAATATATGAGAGAGGAGTATGATATTTAATCTATTGAATAGTTCAAAGATCAATTTTAGTAATAATTTGTAGTATTAAGATAGGAGGTAATAGTAGACTAAAAAGAGAATTATGAGTTGAGTTTGTAGAAGATATAATTGAAGACTGTGCTGAATATGAAATATAATATAAGATTTATATTTGTTTATATATTTGTTAGTTTAAGTGAAGAAGAAATTTAATAGAAAGAGAAGTAGCTATATAATAAAAAATAAAAATATTATAAATAGTAGAAATAAGGTTGATAGGGACTAAGTCAGATAAAGTAGAAATAAGAAATAGTATATGAGAAAAGTTGTGCAGTTTAAAACTGTTAAATGTAAAAATTTCTTAATGTAAATTAGAAACAGAATTAGTGAATATGTCAAGAGCAATGATATTTAAGATGCAGTTAAGAGAATCAGAGATTAAGTAATAAATTGTTTGGGTAGAGGGACAAAGAGTCCAGTGTAATAAAAAACTAGTTTGATTGCATTGATGGCAGAGAGAAAAGTAAGAAGAGTTATGTTTGTAAAGAGTGTAAGAAAAGATAGTTTATTTAAGAGAATTTTAACACAGAAGATTTTTAAAGTAGAGAAGTGAAAGCTATGAGCAAAGTTAGTAACTTTTTAATTATTGTTAATGTAAAGTCAAATGGCTTCCTAGTTAATGTTAAATGTGATAATAGACTATTGTTGAAAGTAATGTTAAGATGTTCAAAATGTTATAATATGAGCTTGGCAAATAGTATAAATAGAGTGTTAAATAGGAATCTTAATAGGATATTGATCAATAAATGAAAAATATGCAGAGTTGTAAGGATTGTTATTTAAGAAATTTAAAAAGAGTAGTATTTGATAACTATGAGCAAGCTGGTCAGCAAGATTATTAAATAGATCAGCTTGGTGTACAGTAACTTTGTGAAAAGTGAGTTGAATATTGTATGAATTAATAAAGTTAATAAGAGTTTGCCAAATAGAGAAGTAT